AACACGTATGTCATACCAGTTAAGGACGGTAGCAACTAGTGTGCATTCCCTTGGCGGGATGTCGGATGTTTAGTGATATAATTGTGTAATAGTTTGCATGAACGGATATATATATATGTATATATGTAAGTGTGTGTGTGCGCATGCATGCGTGCGTATGTGTGTGTACGTGTGCGTGCGTGCGTTACTGCGTGCGTGTATATCTGTTTTAACAATTGCTGTTTCCTTTTTAAAGTCGAGGTAAATTGTCGCATGATCATGATATACAAGATGTGATAAGTAGGCTAGTTCTGTCTGGTCGCTATTACTACACGCATTCTGAAATATTAAGCTAAGCTTAAAGTGACACGTGACTTCATTTCCGTCACCCTTTGAGTTCATGTTGTTATTTTAGAGAATATATAGAAAGTTAGAATATTTGACTGCCACATGAAGTAGTCCTCTCATTTGTAAAACAATGTATCTTTCTTACCCCGCATTCACTCATAGCTCAGTTTCGTACGTACTCACTCGGGACAAATTTTCCTCGTGTGAACGACCACGTATAAAATAGAGAAGAGGAGAGAGGGGAGCGAGAAAGAGAGCACGAGGGCGAGCGAGCAACAGAGAGGTGGGAAAGCGAGAGAGAACGACCGAGCAAGAGATCGAGGTGGGAGAGAGAGAGAGAGGGGGATAGAGGGGTAGCTCGAGAGAGATCACGAGAGAGTGCGAGAGCGAGTAAGCGGCAGAGAAAGAGAGGGGGAAAGCGAGAGAGGGGGAGAGATAGATAGACATGCAGAGAGAGAGAGAGAGCGAGAGCGCGCGAGGGATAGAGGGAGAGGGAGATTACGAGAGCGAGAGAGAGACAGAGAGAGAGGGGGGAGGGAGAGAAAGAGAGAGGGTGCGAGCGAGAGTGAGTGATAGAAAAAGGGTGGTGAGAGAGATAGATAGACATGCAGAAAGAGAGAGAGAGTGAGAGAGAGGGAGAGCGCGCGCAAGAAAAGGCGATAGAGTTAGATCCCGGCCCCCCCACTCCGAGGTCGGAAGGACCGCATGCGCGTTCCCAAAATCTCCGGTAAAGGGGTATTTTTCGCGCGACAAAATCCGGCCCAAGAATTGTAAAAAAGGGGGTGTATTTGACTTTTCACCCGGAGATTTCTTTAAAAAGGGGGTGTTTTTCCTCTCTCTTTCATCTTGAATATCATAAAAAAAACTTTATCAAATCCCGGGATCAAATTCCTGAAATTCCTGCTAGCTCATTCAGGATTATTTCATTTTGAAAAATAAAAATATTGCTCTCTAGTTCCCCTCGATCACTGAACTCTACACTACGTAGTGTAGACTGGTACCCGGTCGACAGTTCCACACGCTACACTAACGTCACTACGTCAGTGTAGCGAAGGATACGTACCGGAGTGAAGGTGGCGAACGGGTACCAGTCTATACGTAGTGTTCCGGATTTAGGGGGTTCTCCAAGGCAGGGAAAACTCGCAAAAAGCCCGCGAAAGGGAGGTTCAGAAATTTTGGCAGTCCTGAGATTGGGGGTGCTTTCAAAGGGAGGGAACGAGCATATGCGTACCCTAAATAACACTGAGTGGGGGGGGGGCGGGAGTTAGATACATGGATAGATACCGTATTCCCTCGAATAAACACCCCGGCGTTTATTGTTTTCGTCACACTAATGACCCCGGCGCCTATTCAAGCATGCCTTTATTCAGGCAGGGGCGTTTATTGCTTTACTGCATGCTACACCCGGTATTTAATTTATTTTTTTCGTAATATATCTAGAGACAGGCTTGTTATTTCGTGCAAAGATCTGGCCAAAACATGTTTTCTTTGATGTTTTTTTCACGAAGTTTTGTTTTACTGGCGACGTTCGCACCTGCTTGTTATCAAAACAACTGAACGTAATTAAAAGCCCGTTAGAGAGAATCTACGGCACGCGGATCTGCCTGCGGCAGCCAACACAGGCACTTGAAACGTTTCAATAAAATATAATGCTAAATAAATACGAAATTGAATACTGGTAGCTAGTAGTACTACAAAATTCTTAATGTTTCTATACTCTCTTTCACCTATTATTGCCGACAGTTTCCTGTCAATGCCGTGTAAATGCTCTATGCACACACACTAACGCCGCCATTGCTCACTGTGCACAGTGACTGTTAATATATATAGTTAATTATATTATAGTTAATTTCAAGTGCCTGTGGCAGCCACGGTACATTTCGCCACCCCCCCCCCCCCTGTCCATCAATTTCTGAATACGCCACTAGTTACTGATCACCGCGGGAACATTCTGCATTTGGAGTTCACAGGGTTGGAGACCCTGTATACATCATCACCCCCCCCCCGGCGACTATTCAGGCCCCGGCGTTTATTGCTCATTTACCCCTCCGGCCCTTAATCACACATGCCTTTATTCAAGCAGGAGCTATTATTCGAGGGAATTACGGTAGATAGATTGAGAGAGAGAGAATGAAAAAAAGATATATGGAGACAGAGAGGTGGGAAAGAGGGGGAGGTCGACAGAAAGAAATAGTGAGAGAGAGAGAGAGCGACAGAAAGGGGGAAAGTGAGAGCGAACGAGCGAACGAGAGGTGGAGATAGCTAGACATGAAGGGAGAGAGAGATGGGTATAGAGCGAGAGCGAGAGAGGGGGGAGAGATAGACACGCAGCGAGAAATAGGGATATATATATATATATATAGAGAGAGAGAGAGAGAGAGAGAGAGAGAGAGAGAGAGAGAGAGAGAGAGAGAGAGAGAGAGAGAGAGAGGGAGAGAGAGAGAGAGAGAGAGAGAGAGAGAGAGAGAAGAGAGAAAGAGAGACGAGAGAGACGAGAGAGGGGGAAGAGAGAGACAGAGGCGAGACGGGGGAAAGAGAGAGAGAGAGAGAGGAGAGAAAGAGGAAAGAGATGAGATGATGGAACAGAGTATTATTTGTTTTGTATTGTTCTACAGGTTTCGTGTGGTAGCTTTGCTATGGCGTAACTACCGATACATATACAATATTGTTGTTTTTGATTTGAATAAATAAAGGAAATGGTACAATCAATATAACATATGCATTTATTTGTATTTCATTGCATATTAATTGGTAATCGAAATAGGCAGTGGCTGGAGGTACGGTCTACCAATTTAATATTATTAGCAACGACGCGTGTGCATGTGTAGTATGGTTTGTGTTACTGTTGCATTAGTGGTTCAACACTCTGTTCTATGGTATCTGGTACACCCTATAGTCTAACCAGTGGTCTATAACTACTGCTACTAACTAGTATATTATTTCTATGCAAATTCCCCCAACCAATGGAAATAATTTCTCATGGAGCGTCATCGTGTGACCGGAGCGCCTTCATCAGCAATTTGCTGATTTATTGTGAGAGCCATGTTATGATTTGTTGTAATTTGTTGTGATTGTTGTGAATGACAAAAACAGAAGGTTGGAAAAAAAATGAGTATGATGTTCGGTGAAGTGTTTCGACCACCCATGGCGGTGCAAATACACTTTATGACGTCTAGTATGGCGGCGCAGTTTTACACTAACGCCATCTAGCGGCCGATCTAAGAAACTGGAAATGTATCGGAGTGTACCGTATTGATGACTAAGCATGTGTATCTATGGTATACACTTAGCCTAAGTGTGGAGATTTCAGGAGGGGGGGGGGTGAAGAGTTGTGGAGATTCCAGGGGGGATGACGTCATACAAACCAGAGACCAGTTCAACAGCAACAGGGATAAAAAGTTCCCCTAGCGACAGGTAGAAAGTTTCCCGAACGACACAGACAAGCGTGGGGGAGAGGGGTCCCATAGCTACCAGATGTGGGAGGTCAGGGAGTTGCGCCACCACGTACACGCGCCGGGCGAGAAAGCGGCGCCGGCCGAGTACGTGGCAGACAGGGGGGTGCGACGCTCGTGCATATACTGGACCAAGGGGGTTGCATCACCTGTACACGTGTTAAGCGAGGGGGTGACAACGGCCAGGCACCTGAGGCACGTGAGAGGGAGGCACTGCCAGGATCCTACGTCACCGCAGGGTCCTATATAAGCAGCCAAGAGCCAACGGTAAAATCAGTCAGTCTTCGGACGGCCACGAACGAACGAACGAATGAACGAACGAACGAACGAACGAACGAACGAACGAACAAACAATAGAACAAACGAACGAACGAACGAACGAACGAACGAACGAACGAACGAACGAACAAACAATAGAACAAACGAACGAACGAACAAACAATGGAACAAACGAACGATAGAACGAACGTTATTGTGATTGTTTCATTTTTTTAAATTTTTTTTTTGATTTTGTGGATTTTGTGGATATTTTGTATTTTTTTGTTTTTTGGGATTTTGTTTGATTTTTTTGGTTTTTTGGTTTTTTTTTT